GGTGAATGTTTTATAACGAAATTTGTTTTGTGTACACACTTAGAAAAAATAATGTAAATTTAGGTGCTCTGAGACTGACATATACGAGCGTCAGTTTTGACATAAAATTGAGTCATAACAGACGCGCAATTCAATTCAATCAAACGTACTTTTCGACGAGTAACGAACATTTCAGTCTCGGAGCACTTAATTTTACATGTCATATTAGTTTACGTCTGATTCTTTATGTCAAACATAGATTCCGTCACGTGTAAAATTAATTATTTCTAAGTGTGTATATCCTCTAATAAAAAAGATATACTCAACTATAATAAAAAATATGAATAAATTCAAATTGATTTTATACGAGTTTAAAAAATAACATACTTCCATTTTTCATATTATTGAGAAAAACATACCTCCGTTAAATTTTTTTTTTGTTTTCCCCAACCCCAAAATGCATATTTTTAGTACAAAAACGTCAATAACTCTTGATCGGCGAAAGATATTGACAAGCTTTCTGCGGCAAAACTTTGCCCCTTCTAAAGATCTAAAAGTCATTTGCAGACATTTTTGCTGAAAAATTTGAAATAAGAAAACCAGAGCAAAATAACTGTTTTTAGCACCATCCTAACTCAATTCAAGAAAATAGCTCTAAATCGACCAATTTTAAAGATACAAAAAAGTTGTTTTCAACAAAGTTGCTTGAAATTAGAATGTATAGAATGTATACCTTAATTTATTCAAACAAAAAAGCTAGATTTTTTTTTCTTCGATCTTGTTTTCCGTTGATCTTGTTTTCCGTGCTGAGCACCAATGCTATCGACGCCAGGAAGGCAGCTCCCACACCTGGACCCTACCTATCGACCCATCAACTCATGAACCGGGGACCAATGGCTTTACTTCCCTTCCAAAGGAAGGCGTGATCAGAGATGTTATGCCTCAGAACATCCCGGCGGCGCCGACTGGGATTGAACTCAGGCCCTCTTGGGGTGAGAGGTAATCACGCTTAACACTACACCACCGGCGCCGCTAAGCTAGATTTTTGATTTTAATGATAATAGGAACCACCCTAGAATTCATTGTCATATAAATAAGGGCCTAACTATAAGGAATAACTTTGTAGACGAGACTTTTAGTCTAAAGTATCAATTTCAGGCTTAAAACATATCATTCCACCTAAATCTGCATTCTGGACCACTGTGCAATGGCTCTCAAAACGACAATCCAAGAGCCATATGGTCACAGTAAAACCGGCTCTGGATATTCCGGATCATGGTTCCACGTGGTAAAATTTGAAATCTCTGATACCCATATCAAATAACATCTACTTGACATATGACCAATGCACTATGGTCCGAATCGACAATTTAGCAAGAAAAAATTGTTTTCTCCGTTGTTGTTCATTTTAGATGCTAAGTGTCGCGAGAGAAGTTGTTTGTTATCATACCATGCTTCTTTTGAGCAAAAAGCCGGTTAGGGTGGTTCTCGTTTAAATCCAAATTCAAATTCTAACATTTTTGTTTCAGGTTATAGGTAGTTATATTGCTGAGCAAAGTTGTAGAAAATATTATTTTAGACAACTTTGCTTAATACACCATTTATCTATCTCATTAGTTGACTTTTTTAGAGCATTTATTAAGTGTTTAGTTAGGGTGCCCTAAAAAACAGTTTTTTTTATTCTATCTTTTCAACTAGTTTCGGGACACGCTGATGGGTGAGTGGAAGAGTGAGAAAGAATGTGTCGTTGCGCGAATAACTTGAATAAAGACTTGTTCACAGAATTACCACTAATTTGGAATTATTATATCACTGGAGTCGCTTTTTACGCGGGTGATACGTCCCGCGTAAAAAAAAACCGCGTAAATTCCGGAATCCGCATAAAAAAAACCGCGTAAATTCCGAAATCCGCGTAAAAAAAACCGAGTAAAAAAAGACCGTGTAAGAAAAAAACGCGTAAAAAGCGATATACCGCGTAAATTCTGAAATCCGCGTAAAAAAAAACCAAAATCCGCGTAAAAAAAAACCGCGTAAATTCCGGAATCCGCGTAAAAAAAAACCGCGTAAATTCCGAAATCCGCGTAAAAAAAAACCGCGTAAAAAAAAACCGTGTAAAAAAAAACCGCGTAAAAAGCGACTCCAGTGTATTATCATTATTATTATTATTACTGCAAATCTGGCAACAGCAGTTTTTATCATCGAAGATGACCACTCAACCAATATCCAGCGCGAGCTCTCCTGGATTCTGGATCAGAGAGCAACTTTCTGACAGAGCGGTTGAATCAACGATTGAAGGTACCGCGAGAAACGGTGGATATTTCCGTCGTTGGTATTGGAGAATTGGCAACCAAAGTGAAGTGTGAATCCAAGCAGTGGTGCGATCGAGATCATCGCAAAACTAGTTTGGATATTTTTGTTTATGGTGGCAGTGGAAACATGAATAGAGCTAATTGATATCTTACAAAAGATTTATGATGTTCCAGGTAATGATTTAACATTCTATAAATGCATGATTAATCATTATCATATCATACGATACAGCATTAAATCATATCTACGTGGCGAAATATTTATCACCGCTTGTTTTCGGACTAACTTAGTGTTCGCTTGCTCTGGGACTAACTTAGTGTTCCTTGAGCACTTCAATATTTTTTTTTCAACCCGAAAAATTCATAAATAGGACTGGAAATTGAACCCAGTCACCTTCAACACAGTCTTGCTTTATACCTGTGGCTTAACCGAGTTAACTAAGTCAATGACATTCAAAATAATTAATTAAAATCGACACCGTAAGGACGGCTTCATATGTTCCAAAAAAAAAAAATGTATGGATACAGGCAAATCTGTTGTCTATTATTTTTTTTAATTCGAAGATCTCAAATATTTGGTATCAATGGTCATTATTTAGGGGTTAGCAAGCATTTAAAATATGTATAAATGTATTTATTCACGGGATAAGGTGGTTCTAAATTCTCTTTAAACGATTTGCGTAGTTTATGCACTTACCCAAAGCAACTGTCTGTCTATCAGCCTGTTTCATATACGCAATTAGAGGAAACATTCATCTACCGATCTACATTCCATAAGACCAGTTTTTAAGTGCTTTTAAACCCCACCCCAGGGGGACGTAAGCAATCATCCATACAAATATGTTACATTTTGTATCGACTGTGGATAATCGTCAACCATGCACCAAATTCCCTTCCTTGTTCAATCGCCAACTTCCCTTCCCCCTAAAAACATGATGAGTTCTAGGAATTCAAGGCACGCCCACGCAAACAAACATAACCATCAGAGAGCTCGGTCCCTTAAAAAAAGGTCTGATAATCAAAAACAAAATTCCACTAAAATTACTTTGCAAATCATTTGAAATTTCATAAATCCATGGAAATTTCATTAAGATATGGCAATTTGAATTTGGGGACAACGTAAGCAATTCAATAAAAAAAATCCTATAAATATGTTTTCAAGATTTTTAGAGCAGATTTCAACAAATACTACAGAGCTCTGGTGTTTGCACCTAGTAATGAAATAATTAGTTAAATCCATCGACTAATAGAAAGAGTTTTTCAAAATGATGAGCAAAAAAATAATTTTGATATCACATCAAAGTGGATGCACTTCAATCGTGTCAAAAATATGGTTTAATATTACTTGCCAAAAAGGACAAAATTGTCATTAATACAGTCCATGCTTGGTTTCATAAAACGTTTCTGCTATAACTTTCACAATCCGTATACGATAAAAACATTTTACATTGCTTATGTAACGTCGATATTAGAATATTGCAGCATAGTTTGTTCTCGTTTTTCAATCATACACGAAGAAAGAAAAAAACACGAAGATAGAATAGAGTCCGTTCAAAAGCAGTTTTTATTGTATGCACTCCGCAAGTTAGGTTGTACTGTACTTTCTCTGCCATCTTACACAGCTCGGTGTATGCTCATAAATATCCAAACATTAAAAGAGTGTCGTGAATTTGCTATGATTTCTTTCGTAAAACGTATCACATTGCATTGATTCTATAGAATTATTGTCATCCTTAAATGTATGTACACATAGGCATTTACGAAATAGAAATATATTTGCTACAAATCGTCATCGTACGAATTATGCCAAATTTGGACCCTTGAACCAAATGATAGATACATATAATAAGCACTGCGATAACATTGACTTAACAATGACAAAAACCAAATTAAAGCAATATTTTAATTCCTCGCATAACGTCAGCTAGAAGTAATGTTTTAACTTGTTCTCAAGACATATTATAAAAAATATAAACAAAGACAAAATTGTAAAAATAGTTCTTAAGACAACAATTGTAAAACGGTCTACACTGATTGACGACAAATAAATAAAAATAAAGTAAAGAACTGACTTTTTTTATTTTCGTGGTCATAAAAATTACATGAGATTTTCGACATGATTGAAGTGCATCCTCTTGGATGTAATATTAAAATTTATTTTTCTGTGTACAGACAAAGGGTTAACATTACAAGGAGGCACGGTGCAATCAAATTCAACCAAAAACTAGATTACCGTTGATTTCCCAATAAATGGCAGTTAATCCCCAATTAGCTAAAAAAAACTGGAACTGCTACCAATTCGACTAGTAAACCGCTGACTATCCCAATGGAAATCGCAGTGAGTAATTGTTCTCCAAAGTCAAGCTAGCGTAACTAATAGCTTCTGAAAAGAAGTCTAAATGCCATCTTCGAGACGAGACTCACGTACACCCTTTGGGCTCAATACAAACAATTCGCATGTTTTCGATAAGTTCGATGACGTGATCAATTGATCGTAAAAAGAGCGGACTAATCGAACTCAAGCTCAAACGCCGAGACAATTATTCATGTCTGAGTTCATCGGGTAATTGCTCCGAGAGGCAAACAAGGGCTAAGCCGCGCGTGGTTGTGATTGTTTTGAATTCACCCTCCATCTCCTCCTTGCAGAAGTTGCATTGTAGCATTTAGACAGAGTAATTGAAGCGGATCTTTTTTTCTTTCTTTTGTTTACAGAGAAACTACCATGGATTCCCCACACTTGCTATCTTGGGAAGGAACGATGTCAACCTCATACCAGTTCCTGCAGTAAATATCGGGAGATACGGGAGTGCTGCTGTGATCGCCTTCTTATCGCACATTGTAAGTATCGAACGCTCTATGTATGAGGCAGAATGAACTTAACCTAGTTAGAGACCCATCAAAATTCAACCCACTAACATAAACCAGAACCTAAGCCACGCTCGGTGCATTGGGGCAGGCTCCCTGCTGCGAGCGGCGCGGCAGCTGATGTAATAATCTTCATAATCGATCCGTATGCGCTTACCTTTCTGGTGCTGTTTTGTATAAACAACAAGTCTGTTCACTATCTCGGGACATGTAACCTATAAATAATGTTACCCTAACTTCGACTGGACTCGCTCGAATGTAAAAGTTGGGATTCCTCGCGCATGGTGTATTCTTCTTATTCGCCACGATGAGCATCCATTCGATTCGCAGCAAATACACAAACGTGTTAGCACAACAAACTGCAGCGTGATTATGGTAATAAAACCGCCAATAAAATCTATCGATTCTAATGATATGTAAATATTTAGACTTTTTTCTGTACGGTTTCTGTGCGGTGCGCCATTTTCACAAAATTTGGTCGTCGTGATCAAACGATTGCCAAAAAATGTATGACTGATATTGGGAAAGAAAGCAAACGTGGTTTGGCTTTTGCGGTGTTTTTTTTTATAAATTTTTAGTGACTGTCGATATTATAATCAACTTTAATACTCAGCTCTGGTAGTATCAAAGAAAACTGGAATAGAATTTAATGACCAGAAGAGTTCTGCGATATAAATGAATTACGAAAAATAAAATTTTATTCCAACAGTGCAGTCTGACAAGTTGGAAAAATCTGCGAATGTTGGAAACCAGATTTCAATTTGTACAAAATTACTCTGCTTGCGAATTAGTCTGAACCTGAGACGGGACTTTACAAACGGGTAGCGATTTCGAGCCAATTTGCTGTCAAATCCGAGCCAGTTTCTCATTGGTTAATTTGACAATCTGGCTGGCAGTGATGCCGGAATCTATGTTGACGTCAATGGCGTTATTAATTGTTTATATTTGCTGAAGGAAAGTTGTGTTGTGTTGAGCAAAAATGATGTACAAGCTGCTAGACTGCGGTAGAAACTCCTAATAAAATCCAAATTAAAATAGAAAAAATATTTAACATTCCTGGCATCATTGGTCAACTCCGTCAAACACCATGCACAACTTTCCGAAGGGCATCCTTCAAGAACATTAAGAAGAGTGAGAAGTTCGATTGTCAAGTCCCGTCCCGGGACTGACCAAAGTATAACTCTGAAGGACATTAGAAACGTAATGGATCCCTACAGAGAAGCATTTGAGTTAACCTGCAGAAATGTGAGATGCAGATAACAACATTGAAACAAAATTCATTGGAAAAAATAATAGAGCTAATAAACTATAGAGGAAGAATAGCGCTGCCGTCGCTGTCGAAACATCTTTTCCTTACATCTTATAGGGACACAATAGACTACTACAATAGATCAATTTACTGGTCGCAGTAGTGTTAGGTCCCGAACAGAGGAAAACAAATAGGGACACAACTGTCAAAGCGCGAAAAAATTATGCAGTTTGACAGTTCTATACCCGATATTATTCAACATCGAAACAAACGGAACACCAGTGCTATTCTTCCTCTATAGTATATTAGCTCTATTGAAAAAATACTATATTGACTTCTTGCCGCAAAATATCACTAATACAACCTTGCTAGTGTAGCCTTGTAAAATCGATTTGTTTATTATTTTTAACCACGAAATCCGCTGTCAAAGTATTCGACTTGACAGCGGTTTGTTTTTTTTTTAATTTTCAGCCAGCAAAACGCATGTATTGGTAAAACTGCTCACTTATAAAACGGTGGTAAAGAACTCTATTGCTGGTTTAAATTAAATACCATTACCAATAGATTTTTGTAGAAAACACTTTCATATTTAATTTTACTGTTGTTTCTATCAAAATTATTATGCATTTTGAGCAAGCATCGTAGAATCACAATCACAGTACATTTGTTAACATCCATAGGCAACTATACTGAAATCCTGATGTTTCCATGACTTCCAGGGAAAATGCCTTACCTCGTGCGACCACCGACCGTAGTAAACACGACGTCATTTTCTATTACCAAAACGTAGGCGGAATGAATTCTGATGTTCTTGACTACCACCTAGCTGTATCGGACCGGTGCTACGATGTCATCGTTTTTGTCGAGACTTGGCTCGATTCTCGAACGCTTTCCATCCAGGTGTTCGGATCCGAATACGAGGTTTTCCGCTGTGACAGAAATCCGAAAAACAGTCGGAAATCTACTGGAGGTGGTGTTCTCGTGGTTGTTCGTTCCGGGTTAAAGGCGAGATCTATTGAAAACGTCTTGTGAAACTGTGTGGAACAAGTTTGGGTGGCCGTAGAACTGAGCGATCGCACACTGTACCTATGTGCGGTGTATATTGCACCTGACCGGGTTCGTGATAACGAACTTATCGATACCCATTGCCGGTACGTTTTCACCATAATGGAGAGTGCGACACCAAATCGTTCTGGGTGACTTCAATCTACCCGGCGTTTCCTGGAAACCATCTCACAGCGGCTTTCTCTACCCAGACCCTGTACACTCTGTATTTCATACAGGATCAGTTAGCGTTCTCGACTGCTATAGTACAGCAACACTATCTCAAATAAACCACGTAGTCAACGAAAACAACCGTAGCCTGGACCTCTGCTTCGTTAGCGTTCAGGACACCGCTCCTTTCATCTCCACGGCACCTTCTCCGCTAGTAAAGCAAGTACATCATCACCCTCCCTTGGCTGTCACTGTAGCTGACAATCACGATCGGGTCTTTGACGACATTTCCACGACCGTGTCATACGATTTCCGGAAAGCCGATCACCGTAGTATCGTCAACGTGCTATCTAGTATAGATTGGGAGAGCATCCTCGATCCTGATAATGTTGAAACCGCTGCGCAAACATTTTCACATGTCTTGGCTTATGTCATTGACAGGCACGTTCCGAAAAGAGTTCACCGTCTCTCCCTGGCAGACGAGTGAACTGCGTAGGTTGAAGTCGACCAAGAGAGCCGCATTAAGAAAATTCACTAAGTATCGTACGCTTTCGCTGAAACGTCACTACGTTAGGCTCAATTATGAGTTCAAGCGAGTTAGCCGTCGATGCTATTCGCGATATCAACGAGGAATTCAGAGGAAACTCAAGTCGCACCCGAAGTCATTCTGGAATTACGTAAATGAGCAGCGCAAGAAATCCGGCCTACCTTTTTCAATGGAGTTGAATGGAGCAGTTGCTTCCACTCCTCAGCAGATCTGTCGTTTGTTTTCTGAGAAGTTCGCCAGTGTTTTCACGAATGAGAGATTAACTGACAAACACGATACCCTAGCAGCTAGTAATGTTCCACTGTACGGTCAAACACTGGGTGCGGTGGATGTCAACGTCGAGATGATTTCCACTGCCGCATCACAACTCAAGTCGTCCTTCAATCCAGGACCCGATGGCGTTCCATCCGTATTCCTGAAAAAGCATATTGCCAGCTTGCTGATGCCCATGCTTCACCTATTTCGATTGTCCATCTCGAGTGGTACATTTCCATCTTGTTGGAAATTCGCACATATGTTTCCTATCCACAAAAAGGGCAGCAAACGGGATGTGGACAATTATCGTGGAATTACGTCGTTGAGCGCAGTTTCGAAGTTATTCGAGTTAGTCATCATGGAGCCTCTACTCTCTCATTGTAAGCAGTATCTAAGTGGTGATCAACACGGCTTCACTTCCGGTCGTTCTACTTCCACAAATCTGCTGTGTTTGACATCGTATCTTACGGAAAGCATGGCAGAGAGGACTCAAACAGACGTCATATACACCGACTTGTCAGCTGCCTTGGGGTCAGCGGCAACCTCTTGCGATGGTTTCGTTCATTTCTCACTGATCGGCAACTGATGGTTGCCATTGGTGACAACCGGTCCAATATCTATCTAGCTACGTCAGGAATACCTCAAGGAAGTCACCTGGGACCTTTGATTTTCTTACTCTACTTCAACGACGTGAACTTGGTCATTGAAGGCCAACGACTATCGTATGCAGACGATCTTAAAATCTACCTACGAATCCACTCGATTGATGACCGTCACTTCCTTCAACGTCAGTTCGAAGCCTTTGCCAGCTGGTGTAATTTGAACCGAATGGTGGTTAACCCCACTAAGTGTTCAGTGATCACTTTTACTCGGAAGAAAGAACCAATCACATTTGAATACAAACTTATCGGCACTGTAATCGACCGTGTGAACCATGTGAAAGATCTGGGTGTTATTCTGGATTCTCAACTTACGTACAAGCAGCACATCTCGTACGAAGTTGACAAGGCGTCTAGGACATTGGGATTTATCTTCAGGATAGCAAAGAATTTCTCCGATATCTACTGTTTGAAGTCACTGTACTGTTCCTAGGTGCGATCCATTCTGGAATATTGTTCTGTGGTCTGGAGTCCAAGCTACAACAATGGTGCTGAGAGAGTTGAGTCCGTTCAACGCCGTTTTCTTCGATTCGCTCTGCGGAAGCTGCCTTGGAGAGACCCACTTCATCTGCCCAGCTATGAAAGTCGTTGCCAGCGGATTGATCTGGAGCCTCTCCGAACTAGAAGAGACACCTCTAGGGCCCTGTTCATTACGGACACTTTACAAGGTAGAATTGATTGCAGTGCAATCTTGGGGCAAGTCAACATTAACGTCCAACCCCGTGCGCTACGTAACAACGTTATGCTGAGATTGCCACTTCAGCGCACAAACTATGGCATGAACGGTGCAATAGGTGGGCTGCAACGAGTGTTCAATCGAGACTCGGGCATCTTCGATTTCCATATGCCTCGACAGCTGCTACGAAGATACTTCTTATCGTTCTTTTCTGGCACAGTTAACCGTGAATGATTGTGTGTTTTATTTATGTATTCTATTCTTAGTTTTTATTTTTTGACTAACCTATATAAGTTACTTAAATCATCATTGGGGCTATACACAGCCTGTTGATGCAGACAAATAAATAAATAAATAAATAGTAGATTTAAC